AAATTATATGTGGCACAAACACTCACTTTGACTCAGTGATGATCTGAACAGAATTTGTTGGTCAAAGGTCACGGTGGCCTCACAAAGTATGTCGATGTTTTTCTTGAACATTATATCTCAAGATCAGCTTGAGGGAATGTATTTCAATTTGGTACTAACATGTATTTAGACACAAAGAATTTTCTCCACGCAGACTCCTCATCAGAGGAGATTAGCTCCATGGTATAATTCTCAAACACATATTTAAAATAGACATCACAGAAGCTAGAGAGGAAGTGGCATTCCACCAATCAACATGACTTTCATCTAGCGTGGAAGGATAGCCTGATAAATTACAAGAAAGCACTTAGAAATGCCAGAACCTCTTATTATTCATTAGTAATAGAAGAAAATAAGAACAACCCCAGGTTCCTCTTCAGCACTGTAGCCAGGCTGAAAGAAAGTCACACCTCTACTGACCCATCTATCCCTTTAACCCTCAGAAGCAATGATTTCATGAACCTTTTCACAAATAAAATTATAACCATCAGGGAAAAAATCCACCACCTCCTCCCCATGAATAGCACAGATACATTGTCTTGTCCTGAAACCTTAGACCCACCTGAAGACCCAGATTTTTATGTGAACCATTTCTATTCTATCGATCTTCCTGAACTGACCTTATTAGTTTCATCATCCAAACCAACAACTTGTCAATTAGACTTTCTCCCAACTTGACTTTTCAATGACGTTTTCCACTAATTGACAGTTCCATATTAAATCAGATTAATATGTCTTTGTTAACTGGCTATGTACCACAAGCTTTTAAGGTAGCTGTTATTAAACCTCTGCTTAAAACACCCACTCTTGTTCCAAAGGTTTTAACTAATAGATCCATATCAAACCTGCCCTTCATTTCCAAAATCCTAGAAAAAGCAGTTGCTAAACAGCTGTGTGATTTCTTAGATAGTTTGCTGGAAAAATTCCAGTCAGGATTTAGAATCCATCACAGCACAGAAACAGCACTAGTAAAAGACACTAATGACCTTTTCATGGCATCAGATGATGGACCTGTCTCTATACTCGTCCTGTTGGATCTTAGTGCAGCATTTGACACCATAGATCATAAGATCCTGTAACAAAAACTGGTACAACATGTAGGGATCAAAAGAACTGCACTAGACTGGTTTAAATCATATTTATCAGATAGATTTCAATTTGTTAATGTCAACAATGACCCATCCATGCACATGCAAGTTAGTCATGGAGTCCCACAAGGTTCTGTGCTTGAATCACTGTCTGACCAGATAGTCACCTAGGATGGTGTTAGTTTGGCCTTCAGCTCCACTGTGATGAATGTTCCACCAGGACATTTGACCCACATATAAAACAAGTATCTTCCACCTGCACAATATTGTAAAAATTCGAAACATCCTGTCTCAGAAGGATGCTGAGAAACTAGTCCATGCATTTGTTACCTTTACACTGGATTACTGTAATTCTTTATTATCAGGATGCCCCAGGAAGTCTGTAAAAAGTCTTCAGTTGGTCCAAAATGCTGCAGCAAGAGTGCTGACAGGAACCAGAAGGAGAGATCACATTACTCCTGTCTTAGCTTCATTACATTGGCTCCCTGTAAAATTTAGAATAGAATTCAAGATCCTGCTCCTCACATTTAAAGCCCTTACCAATCAAGCCCTTCCATATATCAAAGACCTAATAACACCGTATTATCCAAATAGATCACTTCATTCTCAAAACATAGGCTCTCTTGTGGTTCCAAGAGTCTGTAAGAGTAGAACAGGAGGTAGAGCATTCAGCTACCAGGCTCCTCTCTTGTGGAACCAGCTCCCACATTCATTCATTTTAATACACGTCTTTATTCTCCCATAGTTCCTCTCTCTTATTGCAGGTATCTCTGACTCCAGAACTGCAGGACAACAACTATTACTATTATTATTATTAACAACAATACTTATTAGTAATTGATTATTTTATGAATTGTTGCTGCTATCAATAATAATCAATAACTTCTTTATACTGTTATTGTTTTCAGTAGAACTAGTCAGAGCTGATACCTGATGGTGCACAAGTGTTCCTGGTCTCTCTCTCCCCCTCCCCACTATCACCTTCATTTATCTCCCCTCTTTTCCACCCATCACTCCTCTCCTCCCCATTTTTCTGATGACCGCCCACTTTGAGCCTGGTTCTAGAGGTTTCTCCTTGTTAATGAGGGAGTTTTTCCTCCACAGTCGCCAAAGTGCTGCTCATTGTGGGAACTGTTGGGTTTCTCTATATTAAATAAGATTTTAAGATCTTGACCTTCTATGTAAAGTGCCTTGAGATAATTTATATTATGATTTGGTGCTATACAAATAAAATTGAATTGAATTGAATTGGATTAATCTACATTAAACTCCAAAAGAAAGAATCTCTAAATCTAAACCTTTTCAACTGAGAGATTTATTCACACTCATTATCATACCTTTCATAATGTCGCTTCAATTCGTGTCCAGCATTGAGCGGATGGAGTACATGACAGCTCTCCCAAAAGTGAAGCCAATACATTTGGATTGTCCTCTGGTGGCTGGCTGAAGTATAGGTCATAAATTCTGCCCGCCACGTTACAGGATTGGACAT